CGGCGGCTGCTGTGGAGGAAGGAGCTGCCCAGAGCAGCTGGGGCTGCCCCTGGATCCCTGGAGTGCCCAAGGCCAGGTTGGACACTGGGGCTTGGAGCAGCCTGGCACAGTGGAAGGTGTCCCTGCCATGGCAGGGGTGGGGTGAGATTTAAGGTCTCTTTAACTCAAACCATTCTGGGATTCTTCGATTCTTCGCCTGGCATTAATCGGGATGGCTCTGCCATCAGCCTCGGCCAGCTGCCAGCTGGGAACAGTGACAGTTTGTGTCCTCCTCGGAGTAAATCACAGCTTAATCCAGCCATGAGATGGTTCAGACAGCCATCATCTGAGCTGGGTGATACATCGGTGCCTGTGCACATTTACCTCTAGAAAGAAAGCACAAACCAACATCCTTTCATTGGTTTTTCACAAAATACCCACGCAAAACTAGAGTTTCACTGACACTAATATTGAGTTCAACAGCTTCGTCCTCACTTAGAAAGACAGAAGACAGCTGGTGGGTTGGTGATACAAGTAGTGAAATTTCTGTGGCTGAAATATTTTCCTTTAAATTTCAGAAACACAGAGAGATGCTGAGCCAGGCTTCTCTGCCAGGATTTGTCCACCTTTGCCCTGTAAGAAAACAGCCCAGCAGATGTCACTTTAGGAAGGTAGGATCAGTCTCCCCTGGCCAGGTAAAGGCATTCTGCAATTCAGATGCAGTGCAAATTCAGATGTAACAGGTTACCCTCCATCCTCAGTCCTCCCTTGCTGCAATCTCCTGCTTTATCGATTTAATACCACATTTTCCTCCCTGGGCAACAATAGATTCTGCTTTAATACCACTAACTGCAACATTTGTGTCCACTTCAGTGGCATTTAAAGTACTTTGTCTCTTGCAATAACACCTCGTTTGTAGCACTCCTGTAACACTCCTGACATCAATGGCACATCTTTATATCAACACTTAGAACACTTGTAATATAACCCTCTAATCCTTGAATGGTGGACGTTAACAAAGTACTTTTATCAGAAATTCTGGGGATTAGGGAATCCAGGGATTCAGTGAAGTGCAACTCTAACACCGAGGCTGCCCTTGGGGTGTTTGTCTTTTCTCCCTTTGTGGTTTGGGACCCCAAGAGATACATTTAATTAAAAGTATCCTGAGGGTTATCCTCTGTTCTCCCCATGGACTGCAAGCCCATCTGTTGAGTGTTAATTAGGTTGGCAAGCAGTCGATTAAGCCAAATTGCCACTTTTCTGTACCCCAGACACGGTGCCCTGTGCCTGAGGGATGCCACCTGCCACAGCTGCATTCCAGCTGTTCTCAGGGGGCTCACATGTGTCAGAGAAGCTCCATTTCAGTAAAAAAACGTCACTATTTAGGCCACCAGAAATACAGTGAGTTTGGGTTGTGTCCCCACCCCTTTCTTTGGATCACAATTTCAAGCTCTTCAAAATATTAAATGCAAAATATTTTTTTCAAAGCCCAGTAAAAGGAAGTTTTAAAGGTAAATTGCACAATTCCTACAGCTGACCCCAGCTATGTGGAGACTCCTGTGAAAGTGGGAGCATTAGTAATGCTGTAACAATCTGCATTTCATTTACAAGTGTCCTGTTAAAAAGCAGACAAGAGAGCGCTTTCAATATTCACTTTAGTCACCTAAACCCTATCAACTTCTCCCAAGACATTTCTGGTCACTGAAAGCTCTACCAGGAGCATGGAGCAAGCCAGAATTCCATAGGTTTTACCACAATCTTTTATTCAAAGTTTGGTTTCATTTGTCTCACCTGAAAGACAAATAGAATTAAGCAGACATGCAACATTGCCTGTGGAAAATGAAGCAGTTATCCTTTACAGTGCAAGAGTGTAAAGCTTGATTTATTTACACATTTTAAGGTGAACAGGAGAATGTTGTAGGCAGATCATTTTACACATTCAGCTGTGCTCCACAGAGTGCAGTTACACATGAAATACACACTGAGGATGCTTGAAGTGCTCTGGGGCCTCAAGAACCACACAGGGAGGAGGCCACAGATGTCAGCTCACACTGGGTGAGGAAGGCAGGGATGAACCCAAGGAGCTGCACCTTCACCAGAGTGCTGGAGCAGCTCCTGGTGCTCCTGGAGAAACCCCTTCCCTTTGGAGGCTGGGGGTGCTGTGCCAGCTGCAGGGTCCTGCCTGAACCCTGCAGTGCTGGCATTCACACATCAGAGTGTGCTGGACAACACTTATTCAATAATTTTTCACCCTGGGATGTGGCACAGGGCTCCTCTCCTTTAGACCTTGCTGTGCTGCTCTGCTGTAAATATTTGCTGCAGTCCCAGGCATGGCCACTGTCACCTCAGACTAACAAATATTCTGTGAAAAGCTCAGTGTGAGGGTGCAAAACCCTTCCTGTTCCAGCTTCTCTGGACTAGAAGGGAGGTGAGGAGTTTAATTCACTCCTGAAAAAAACAGAAAGAGCACAGAAGTCCTTCAGTCAAGTTTGAACAAGACACTTGCTTTCTCTGGGCCCTGCTCATGCCTTTTCTTAGGCTGGAGAGCAGAAAATAACATTTTTTGGAAGATTGGGAGAAAAAGCAAGAAAGAGGAACGTGCATAAAATAAAAAACCCAAAAAACAAACAAAACCAACCCCATGATAAGATTCCAGTGTTGAACACACTGAGGTGCAGTCCCTCAGTCCTACCCACACATCACTCATGGAGCTGAGGCCCATGGCCAAGGAACAGCCCAGGCTCCACTGCTGTGGCACAATGATCATAAATATTGTGATTTATGTGCTGGGGAAACAGACACCACCTCCAGTGGAGGCCTTTGGCAGGGAAGCTTCCAGAAGCAAACAAAGGAAGATTTCCCTGTGGCTGCAGGTAAAGGGAACTGTCATTATTAAGTAGAATTATTTGAGCACACAGAGACTGTGTAAATAAAACTTGGTTATGTAAAGCTTTGGAGCAAGGCTTGCCTTAGAATCTTTGCAGAGAAAGGGCCAAAGCCACACAATAGCACAAAAGCTGAGCTGTGGCTCGGGGCAGTTTCACTCACAGAAGGGCTCACACGTGAGGGCTCTGCAGGGAGCAAGGGCTCAGGAGAACGGGGAGTTCACAGCAAAACCAGCCCTGAGCAGGCCAGAGCAGCCTGCAAGGGAGCAGAGCCACCTCAGAGCAGCCTGCAAGGGAGCAGAGCCACCTCAGAGCAGCTCTGTCCCCTGGCCCTGTGTCCATCTCAGGGCTGTGCTGAGGAGGAAATCCCAGACCCAAATCCATGGCTGCCAAGTCTGTGCTCCAGTCTGTGCTGGGTTTAATCCCTGCTGAGAACTGGGACCAGTGCACTGGCACACACAGGACCATCCTGATCTCTATATCAGCAACCCTTTAGGCCCTCCTGAACTGTTTTATTAAGCAGTTAACAGAGAACATTGCCATGGAACAAGTGTGTGGTGCCAGCCACAGCTTGTATTCAGACCCTGTGTTCTGTGGCTGCAGAACCCATGGGTCAGAACAGGTTGATGAAATGGGAAGAGATAAGGAAAGGCAGCATTCCCGTGCCCTTCCCATCCAGCAGTGCTTCCTTCTGCATTGTTAATGAACAAAAGCTGCCCATAAATTCACCAGCAATCAATGGCCACATCCAAAGGCACTAAATCAGAGTCACTGCACCCCAGCAAATGAATGCTCTGGCAGCAGGAGCCCATTACCATCCTTTCTTTTAATCACAAATCAAGTATTGAGGGTGCAAGGAAAGCTGTTATTTCTTGAGGTTTCCTAAGCTCCAGTGCAGGGGATGCCACTGATAAGATCTGAATTGTGCCCAGCTGGTGAAGACAGCTGGGTACAGCCCCAGGGCACCTCCCCTGGCCAGGGGAAGGTTATTTTTCTAAGCTGCACAAAAATGCCAAAGCAATCCAAAGCATGCCCAGATGGAATCAGTCTGGCAAAGCAAACAAGTGCAAAGGAACAGTTCTGTTGTCATTTACAACAACAAGAACCTAGAATAATCATGTGCAGGTCAGGGGAGTTGTTGGGAGTTTCTGGCAGTGGGAACAGAAACTGGCCATGAGTCAATTTAACAAATAAAAATAAAAATAAATAAATGCAGAAAGACACTATTCCAAATCTAAGATAATCCCAAACTCCCTGGTATTGGGGGAATCACTTAAAATACACAGAACATGAGCACTATTCCTTTCAAATAAAGTTCCAGGGTCCTGGAGACTCCACTGTGCAGACAGCCCAAACCACACTGAGTGGACTTAAAATGCACTTTCCCAGAAAAAAAAAACCAAAAAACCAGTTTTAGAGAACCCCCCCAGTGCTATCAAAGTGCCAGGATAAGCAGTGAGTGTTGTATTTTCTCCTCAATTCACAGTTCCCCATTGTCCCCCCCTCTGTGTCCATTCTCCCTCAGTATCAGCTCCTGGCCATCTCCTGGAAGCTGGAATGATAAATATCAAAGTACACAAAGCTCCATTATCCTCACAGGCCTCAGTGAGTGCTGGGCAACTTCTCTCCTTAGGTCATCCACAATAGTAGACCAATAGTATTGGTTTTCCTTTTTTAAAAATAAAGAAAAAGGGGGAGGACCCCAGTTACATCACCCAAACTGAGCTTTTGAACTAAGGAACTTCAACATTGTTAAAAGCTGGGACCACTAAAGTTGGAAATCCTGCCTCAATCAGAAAGAAAATAAATAAATATGATAAAGAATTCAGATTTTGTCCAAAATTACATCAATTCCCAACAGATACAGTCACATCATTCTCATTTCTCCTTGTCCTCATCCTTTATAGTGCTCCCTCTGCACCATTTAATCCAACTTGAAGCTCCTGCTATGAAATCAGAAAACTGGCAAATAATCTTTGTTCTAAGCCATATAATCCAGTGGTGCTCTAAAAACAACCCCCATCCTCAGTGCTTGTGTTCAGCACCAGAACAGAAGTGCCCAAAATTGGTGCTTTGAAGGGATAAATGTTCACTCTCACCAGTCCTGCTGCTCTAAAGACACAGCGAGTTCCAGTGTTGGTGCTTCAAAACAATTCCATTTATTGCTGTGTCAGGGGAGCTCCATGGCCACACCAGGATTTAGAGCCTTCCTGGAAATCTGTCACAGTCCCTGTAAATGAAAGATTCAATCCTGTCCTCCTCTCCCTGTGAGCAGCTCCTGAGAACTTGTCTGGAGATAGAACCACTCCCAGCAGGGCTGAAAACTGCACAGTCACTTGCACAGCATCTCCTCTCCCATCAGCTCCACAGGGCTGCACTCCCCAGTCCATCAGTCCACACTCCCAGCCAGCAGCAGTCCATGCACAACTGGGATCTGCTCCCTGCCAAGTTCCCAACTAGAAAAAGTTGTTTATTTTAATAACCAGCCTGGAAAGTTCAGCTCCAGACGGGCTTAAAACTCTTCTCAAGGTCGGCTTTACGCTCGCTTCTATTTGAACAGGTAAATAAATAAAGGTCAGACTGCCGAGTCCCTGAAGGTCACTCACTCCTTCTTGCTGTGCTCCAGCACCCTGTAGGGAGGGGCAGAGACGCCCCTGGGCCCGTGCTGCTCCTGCACGATGGGCAGCGTGGCTGGGCTGTACATTTCTGGCATGCTGTCGTTGTTCTCCAGGGCGCCGTAGGAGAAGGAGGCCTTGAGGTCAGGCTGCACTGCAATCCCTTTGTCGTGCATGTTCTGCATGCCTGCAGGAGCAGAGGCACACATTAGGGACAAAAGTGCATTTTTGCTGCTCTCTGTTCAGCCAGGAAATGAGCACTCCCTAAGGCTCGTCAGCTGCTAAATCAAAGACAGGGTTTGTGCTCAGCTGATGGAGAAATAAGCTCCCAGTGCATGAGGGATGGCTCTCAGTTATCCACCAAGTGCTGCAGAGCTTTCTTACAGCTCACCAGAGAGCTTAGCTGTGCTTCCCAAAGGAGATTTCTGCTCCTCTACCTCACTGCTGAGCCAGCCCCAAAAATCAGTTCCTGCTAGACCCAGCCCCATCCCCAGCACGTGCTCAAACCAGTTCCAATTCAGATAACAACTGCCTGATCACCCAGCCCTGGGCAGAGGCACAGCCTGAGCCCTCCCTGGGCAGCCCAGCTCTTGAACAGGGTGATGGAACCCTGGGCTTTGGTCACCTGGCATGGCATCCATGGAGATGTAGGGCTCGAAGGGGACGGGCTTCTTCCTGTTCCTGGTGATCAGGAAAACTCCCAGGAATGCTATGAGGCACCTGAGGGAGGAGAAGGGATCACAGATGCCTGGCAAGGCAGAGCACAGAATAGTCCCTGTTGCTCCCTACAGAATTCAGAGCTGCAGTCCAGGCCCTGCCAAGGCAGAATTCCAGGGCTCTGTCCCAGCTGAGCCCCCCTGAACACAGCCCTGGAACACCCCCAGCAACCAGCACAGCTTCACCTTTATCAAACACAGGGAAAAGTTTTCATGTTAATTAATTAATTAACCTTGGCTAACTGCAGGGAAAAGGAAACATTTGGCTTTGCTTTGATGGGATTCCAGGATTTAGCAGCCTGACCTTTCCAAGGCTCCTGTAAACACACCACCAACCACAGATCTGCATTGCCACAGAGCAAGGTGCAGCTCACAACAATGATCTCCAATCGTTTGGGGACTTTTTCCTGTACTTATCTAAAAGATATTTGAGAATGTCCCCTGATTATGGAGAGCTAATTACACCAAAACACTGAGTTAACAGGAAATGTTTTACTGATCCCATCAGCATTGTGCCTTCTCCATGCTCTAAAAACTCCATAAGTCAGGCACAGTTCAGGGAAGGTGCAAAATCTGAAATAAGGTTCCCAGAGAGAGTCTTTGGGTTGTTTTACAATTCATGAGCAGGCAGCTTGAAAACCAAGCCATCTGCTGAGCACCCCAGCTGATCCCCAGGATTTAGTGATTAATTGTTGTGTAATTGTGCATTACCAAGGGTTACACAATTTTTTCCAAACACGACACTGAGCCCTAAGAGCCACTCTCTGCTCTGACAGAGAGGCATTTTTAAACCAGATTTGTATTTTTAAAATCTGAGCCACATAAAGCAACAGTTTTCTGTCAAGGAAACGTGGAGCACTTACCCCAGTGCAAACATACAGATGTGGAGAACATCTTCACCCATGAAGTCCAGGTAAAAAGTTGCTCCTTGAAAAGGAAATAATTCATTACATCTTCCCAATTCCACCTTCAGCCAGAACCCACATCAGCCAGGATTCCTATTTTTATAGCCAGCACCTTTGTTTATTTAATGATCTGAAAATAGGTGTCCTGATTTCTATTTTAACACAAATTATTGACAAATCTTTTCGAGTCTCACTACCAAAATAGTTCTGCTGGTGTCACTAACAGAGATATAAATGAACCTGTGCAGCAAAAACAAGAGGGACTATTTTGGAATGATGAGAAAAATTGGATTTAACTATAAAAATACACAAACTCTTGACCCCAAACAACAACAAACAGCTCCAAATTCTAGAAGTGTCCTGGGTGGCAGCAGGACACACGTTCTGCCTCCTGCTCTTTACATATTTAATGCAAAGAAAATAAAGTCAAAAATAAATAACAAGGAAACATTTTACCTGCACATATAAGAACATATTGAATGAGGAACAGTCTCAAACAAATTCCCCTGCACAAAATGACAGCGCTGAACAGAAAATTTTAACAGTCTATGGGATAATTCACATTTTTAAAAAGGAAAAAAAACCCAAACAAAGCCACTGCAGATGAGAGATGACAAAAAAAATAAGAGTCATCATATTGCTGAGTATTCACCTTCAGGAGGATTATTTCCCAAAACCTTTTGCCCTTTTTTCAGAAAGGTTTGTGCAGTTACCTGCTGAGATTGCTGCTGTGGTGGATAGGATGTAGCCAATGCTGGAGATCTGAGCTGAGTCATAGAGCTGGGAGGCTTGAGCTAAAAACCTGCAACACAATCACAGGCAACAGGGGCTGATTGGGAAGGATCCTTTTTTTGGAAACACCTTTCAAAAGTGATGCATAAATTTAAGGAAATTCATTCTTTGCTCAGTGAATGGCAGCAGCAGAAAGCCTTGGAAAGAATAAAAAGGACAGAAGAGGGAGGTTTGTGGCTGCACTGAAATTACTGCCCCAACCTCAGGGCCAGAGTGTCCCTCATATTTTGAGAATCCTTTTATCCCTGCTGCTACCAGCTTTTTATGTGATTGCAAGTACAAAGGGGAAAAAAACCCCTAAAAATAGACACATTTTCAACAACACTGATCCTGCACTTTGATTTTAGCCAGCACAGATACTGCATTTGATTGGCCACCATTCCAGTCCTGAAATTGTTTGGAAAATACTTGAATGGTGGCATTAAAACATTTTTATGTTCTTGCAAGTACAAAGGGGGAAAAAACCCCTAAAAATAGACACTTTTTCAACTGATCCTGCACTTTGATTTTAGGCAGCACAGATACTGCATTTGATTGGCCACCATTCCAGTCCTGAAACTGTTTAGCAACCACTTGAACGGTGGCACTAAAACCACCTGGCAGTGGAAAAGCACAGACCCCCCCTGGGACAGATGACAGGAAAGGATGGATAATTCTCTACATTTAAGGGGTATTTCTGGCATGGCACCAAAGAGCCCCTGCCCACAGACTGCAGATAAAAGATAAAGAGAGGAGTCCTTACGTGGCCTGGTAGATGGCTGTGGCAGCCATGCACACCAACATGATGTAGAAGATGGGTGAGTCCAGCTGCAGGGAGCCCTGGATGGACACCAGGACCATCCCTGCCACAGCCTTCACTGTCACCACCGTCATGGAACCTGGGGGTCACCACACTCAGCTGGGGCGGCTGCAGGAGCCTGCAAACCACCCCAGCCTCCCCAACCCTGCCCCTCGTCCTGCCAGGCACACAGGGCATGCAGAGTGCCTGTTCTGTCCCCCACAAACCCAGCACAGCAACTGCACTGAGTCACTGAACCCTTGTCCAGCTACAGAACTGGGAGCATTTACTGGGACCTGTTCACAGGGTCCCAGGATGAGGGAAGAGAGGAGGATCTGACTCCATGGTTCAGAAGGCTGATTTATTCTTTTATGATATATATTATATTAAAACTGTACTAAATTAATAGAAGAAAGGATTTCATCAGAAGGCTGGCTAAGAATAGAAAAAGAATGGAATGATAACAAAGGCTTGTGCCTGACTGAGACAGTCTGAGCCAGCTGGGTGTGATTGGCCATTAATCAGAAACAACCACATGAGCCCAATCCCAGATGCACCTGTTGCATTCCACAGCAGCAGATAACCATTGGTTACATTTTGTTCCTGAGGCCTCTCAGCTTCTCAGGAGAAAAAATCCACAGGAAAGGATTTTTCAGAAATGATCATGGCTCCACATTTACTGGTGCTGTCAGTGTTTAAAGAGTGTTCTGCAGTTATGGGATGGGAGGATACAAATTTCCATTTGGTTTGGTTCATAAAGCCAAAACAAGAATCAGGAAGAACTTTCCTTTCTTGAAAGTTGGGCCTTTCAGAATCAGGGCAGTTGCTTTGTAATTCATGGAGCCTCTGAGGCACCACTGAAATCCAGCCCCAAACAGCTCAAAAAAACAAACAAAAAAAAAAAAGAGTAAAAGAAACAACCCTGCAGGAACTGAAGGTGCATAAACAAAAATTGAGGACTGTGACACAGAGTTCAGCATGGCAGACTTGCCATTACTCATCCTTTTTAAAGTTTAATTGATTACAGTTTCCATTAAAGAAATATTAAATTTGCAAATCCAGAATCACTGCAGGATCCCACTATGGGATATCAGAATCACCAGGGACAAGCTGGGGTGGCAGAGGATTCCTCATTTCTTCAACCACACAGCAAATCCTAACAGAGCTGAGACAATCCTTGTAGGTCAAATTCTCTCTTTCACCCACTGGCTCAGCCCTCCTCACACACTGAATGCCACCCTTTGTGTGCCCAGATTAAAATTAAGAACATTAATTAATAACCTGCACTTTCTGTGCTGGGCAGGTTATTTGCCTGATGGGGAAGCCTTAATTGTTCAAAGGTTCTTTGCAAATATTCTAAATATCAGCCTCAGGAACATTTCTGGAGAAAATTATTGCATTTCATGGCCTTAATTAAATCAATATAATCCCCTGCATGCCTCAATGTACTGTTTAAAGATCTTACAAGTCCATGTCAACTTACCCAGCAAAGCCACCAGCAGGAGAATAATGACAATGTAGTTTGCATTTCTCTCCTTGTAAAAGTACAGGAGCAGACAGAACACAATGATCTCCACAAGCTACAAAAGAGAGAAATGAGAATATCAGAGATGCAGAGCACATGGGGTTGGCAGTAAATGAGACTCTGAGCCAATCAAACATTAAATAGGGCAAATCAAAGGGAAATGGGGATCCCACACAATTCTAGACCAAATTCAGCATCATCTCAGATTCCAGTGAGAGGAGATATTCAGCAGCTGCTGGCAGCACAGGAAACACTTCTGCTGTGGGATTTATGGTAAAACAGCTGATCAAATAGTCCTGACTGAATATCCACAGGAGAGATCTCAGTCTGCTTTCTGCACTGAGCTTCCACAAGTGACCCCTGGGCCAATGCCAGGGTTATCTTCCTTCAAACACAAATTCCATGGGATTTTCAGTAAGAGATTGGAGGGCCCAGAGAAAGTCAGTGTGGAAAAAGCCCAGACTCAGGCACCAGTAAATTTTCAGTCAAAGACATTTAATCCTACAGAATTCAGAGAAACAAAAGGAGCTGTGCATGTGTCTGACACCTGGAAAAGCTGGCCCAGGTCCATGAGTGAACACAGGGAACATTGGCAACAACCAGAAGGAAAAATAATGCTGGCAACAAAACTGGCCCAGGAGAAAACCCCCACCCTCCATGGCCCCTCACCATGTAGAGCAGGAATGGCCAGCTCACTAAATGCCTGGTGATGTTTTCTGCTGTCATCTTCTCGTGGCTATTGGGTCCAAATGTCACCAGCAGGTAAGTGCCAACAACTGCCAGGCCACAGCCCACGAAGGACAGCACGTAACGCCCTTGGGCAGCACAGGACAGGAGAGCACAGGGTTAATGAGGGGTGGGATGCCTGCAATTAATGAATTCATCCCACAGCACCATCACTGGATGTTCCTCAGGGTGCCCTTCCTGCCCCACCTCCAAAATCTTGCAGCCACCAGGGGCAGTGGGAACTGAGACAAAGTTGGTACCAGGTGGCCTCTGGTAAATAAATCAAGCTGCAAGATCTGTGACCCTGCCCACAGCCCCTTCCCACTTCTGCAAACACATCCATGCCCATGGAATTCATTCCCTTGTGCCTGTGCTGCAGCTTCAGCCTGTTCAGGGGATTTGGCACAAGCCAGGGAAAAGAGATCCATTTGTAATGAACAGTGGAGAAGATGACAAATTTCATCCAAGAGGTGCTAATGAGACCTTGCCAGCCCTGTAATTATAATTCCTGAGGGCTCATGCTGTGTGATGAACTGTAAACACAGAGGAGAAATGAAAAGGAACTGTGGAACTTACTCAAAAATTCCTTGGGCTTCCATTTTTCTTTAATAAATATAATTCCTATGATTGCACTAGCTGTGAAAGAAAGAAAAGGAGAGAGAAAAGCAGTGAATTCTGGAGCCAGGAATCTCCCACAGGAACACACTCAGGCTCCTTCCTCCTTACCCACAACAGACACTGCACTGAGGGGCACAATCAGTGAGAGAGGAGCAAAGGCATAGGAGGAGAACACTCCCAGCTCCCCCAGCAGCAGCAGCAGGAACCCACTCCACCAGGTCTTGGTTCTGAAGTAGGCCCGGGGGTCCTTGGAGCCTGCCAGCCTGATGTGGCTGTATTTCTAGAGAAGAACACAGAAATAAAGCAGCCTTGTCATGTCTGATTGCTGATTTCAGTGCAGGATGATTTGCCTCAGGGCACTCACCTGCAGGTTGAGGGCAATGCTGCTGACAAGGTGCCCAAAAATAGCCAGAAGTGCCCCAATCAGGTTCTCCTGCAAAAGCAAAGGGAACACACAATGATTGACAATGACTGAATTCAGCCAAGGACCCAGAGGGCTTTGCACACTCTGGAGGAGAGAGAGCAGGCTTGGAAACCATTCCTGAATCATGGAACAGCCTGGCATGGAAGGGACCTTTAGAGGTCATCTGGTCCAACGCCCAGCTGTCAGTGAAACCTGTTTGTCTTCCTCCCTTCCTGCTGCTCTGGGCAGCTCAGATTAGAGCTGTGCCTGTGCTCCACACCTGTGAACTCAGGTGCAAGATAAGACCCAACAGCCACTTTCTCCAAGAGACTGCAATTCATTTGCAGTTTCTCAGAGAGGAGGAAGATAAGGCTAAAAAAACCCCACACCATCACTCATTCTTGCCTCTGAAAAAGTCACTTATGAGGATTTTATTGCCCTGGAATCAAGAGAATGGATCAGGAACCTCTGCTTCCCAACTATTTTGCTCTTCTCCACTTGTGACAGCTGCTGGTTCAGTCACTGATTCAGCCCATGTGATCAGGAAGCCCAATTATCACAGATTTTAATCTGCTTTTTGTATAAACCAGTTATTCTCAAAGTCACAGGAGACTGCTGACAGCTCCCAACCTCTTCTGCACTGGCATTCAAAGCTCAGCAACAATTCTCACGCTCTGGAGATGGAATTTGAAATGAAGAGAGGATGTAAAGCAGGCTGAGTCACAAAGGAGATGCAGAGGAGGACTGAGGAGAAGAGCCTGAGGCCACCAAACATTTGTGTGCTCCCAAAACTGCCTAAACCTCATTAAATGTCATTAGCAGTGTTCCTTCAGCCCAGTCCTTACTTGCATTGATTTGGGATAACCCAGCTCACATTCAGATGTCAATAATTGGATTAATATTGATTTTCTCATACACAGAAGAACTTCCAGATTTCAAATTCGTGGCAGCAGAACAAAAAGCTCTTTGTCAGAATGCACAAAAAGAAGATTCACCCAAAGAGCTTCACTCAAAAGCACCTGAGAGGTTCCCAGGACAGAGAGAGAAGGTGGCAGGAGGATGTCACTGTGTGACACAGTGCAGAGGTCTCTGTGCTGTGACAGCCTCGGGCAACAGCATTGGGTCAACTCCCACAAGGGCCCAGGACTGTGGTCTCAAAGGAAAATAAACCCCTTTTTGCTGAGAAATCGGGGATTCAGAGGGAATTTATCTGCTCCCAGCTGGAGCACAAGGAGGAATTACAGCCCCATGTCCCAGCCTCTACTGTGGGCTCAACCCTGAAATTCAAACACCTGAACACAGAGAGCAGAGCAGAACCTGTGCTCTGTTCCTGCTCCATGGGCAGCTGTGAGAATCACTGCACCCAAACCCCTCCACACCCTCCCCTGCCACGCCTTCCTGCAGCTCCTCTGCTCTGCACACACAGAATTTCTCTGTCACTCAGATGTGACACCCCAGGAATGGCTGAATTCAAAGACAGAGCCCTTTCTGCAGAAAATAACCCCAAAGTAGCATCGTTATCAGCTCATTCCAGGAATCAGAGCCTCAGGGATGGAAACCTCCCCGCTGGGGTGGGAAGCTGACCTTGTAGGAGAAGGAGTCTGTGTGTGGCTGCACAGAAACTGCTGCTGTGGCCAACGGGAGCTGCTGGAGCTGCAGACTGGGGCTGTTTCCTTCCATTCTGGGGTTTTTTCTTTGCTTTTCAGCTTTCTTGATGCTGGAAGTTCTCTTTACAGAAGAGACTTGGACTCTGCTGGAACCAACATTTGGTACCACTCCCTGCCATCCATCCTGTTCCCCTGGACAAGGTCAGGGAATCACAGAGGGGTCCTGTGCTTCCCTTCCAAAGGGGTCCTGCTGCTTCCCTTCCAAAGGGGTCCTGTGCTTCCCTTCCCCTGCCCTGGCTCAGGGTGGCCACACAGGCACAGAGAGGGGAAGATGAGCCTCTGCTTCCAGCCAGTCGGTGAAGCAGCAGGGTTATGTTCCTTCCAGATGAATCTAAGGGAAAAAAAAAAGAAATAAACCCCAAGGAATTAGATGAAATAAATCAGTGGTCCAAAACCTGCAATAAAGGACAGGCCACAGAAACGCCCCTGGAATCAAACTCACAGCTGCACATAAAAAATAAAAGCAGATTGTAAATGTCTTCTTAGAAAGCCTTGGACAGAAACTCACAGGCTCTGCTTTTCAAGCTCTTGTGACCTGGCTGGCCCGCAGGGGTGACACACTCAGCTGGCATTTAGCAGCATCACAAAGGCTCTCAAGTCCTCCTGCTTTTCATGTCCCTCCTCCCTGAAGCTCCTTCCTCCGAGCCCCGGTTCCGAGCTCGCTGGAGCTGCCTGGGGAGCAGCAGCACCGGCCCCGCCCGCTCTGAGCGGATCCCGCGGGGTGCGACCGTCCCGGGCTCGCTCAGCCCGGCCGGGATTCGCCGGGAGCATCCCCGGCCCGAGCCCGGACACCGCCCGTGTCCCGTCCCGTGGCAGCGGCCCCGGGCAGCCCCAGCGTGGGGCAGAGCAGCCACGGAAGGGCAAAGCCGCCCACTGTGAGGGGATGGGGCAGCAAATCCCGCTCCCACCGCCAGCGACCCTGCCCGGGCAGCGCAGAGCGCGGGACAGCCCCGGGCCGGGACACGGGGTGTGCCACCGAACCCTCCGGTGCGCGGCCCCGCCGCTGTCCCTGCCCTGCCCTGCCCCGCCGCTGACCCCGGCCCGGCCCCGGCACTCACTTGCCCCGGCACTCACCGGCCCCGCCGCTGATCCCGGCCCCGCCGCTGATCCCGGCCCGACCCCGGCACTCACCGGCCCCGCCGCTGACCCCGGCCCGGCCCCGGCCTCCAACTCCGGCTCCCGGTCCAGCGCCGCAGCCGCTTCCTCCTCGGCGCATCCGGTTGGCCTCCAGCGCTGTCAATCAAAGGACCGTCCCCAAGATGCGGGCAAGGATTGGCTGCTGCGCGGAGAAGGGATCTGGCCCAGCCTATGGGCGCAGGGCTCTGAGGGGCCGGGCGGAAGAAGTCGCGTTCCGCCGCTCGGTTGGGGCGGGACGAGGCGGTCCCGCGAGCCCCGCCCGGAGCGTTCCCCGGCCCAGAGCTGCAGGGACAGGCACGGCCCCGCGCCTTCCCCCGCTTTGCCCCGGTGGAACCCGTTCCTCCCGCCCTCCACGTGTGCGCGGCTCCCGGTGGCGCGAACAGCAGCCGGAGCCGCCTTAAAGCTTATGCGCAAAGCTCCTCCGCCGAGCCATCTTAAACCAGCCGCGGTCGCGCGGAGAGCTCGCCTGTGATTGGGCGCCTGCTCACAGTAACAAGCACGGTGATTGGATGAGAGCTGAGGCGGCTGTTGTCTCGGTAACCGGTTGTCCGCATTCCCGGGGCCGCTGAGGGCCGGGGATGAACGGGCAGGAACCGGCAGGAACGGGCGGATACAGACAGCACACCACCCCTGAGCAGGGTCGGGGATCTCCCCGGTGCCCCCCGCGCCGCCTCAGCCGTTCAGGTACCCGCCGTTCCCAGCGCCGCCTCACCTGGGCGAGGCTGGGCCGTGAGGCGACTTCCGGTGGCACCTCAGGTGAGGCCTCAGGTGAGGCCCTAGAGGGCTCCACCTCATCCCTCACCTGGGCTCCCCTCGCCCCCGAGCCATCGCCCCGAGCGCCGGTTCTCTCAATGCAGACAGCAAAGGCCATTGCTGCCCTGGGCCAGCTCTGCAGCCTCGGCCCTGCTGCACGTTGAGAGCCGGGACTGAGCTTAGAAACAAAATCCCGGCTCTGCCCTGAGTCGTGACACTGGACGCGTGGGCTGTGACCGATCCCCGCCCTTCCAGCTCAGGGATGCTGCGGAGCACGAGGTACCTCTGGCACAACAGCACCGCTCGGTGCCATGTCCCGAAAATAAACAGCACTCACCACAGTGAAGGGTGAAAACATCAACCACGCTAAGGTTTTTCGCTCAAAGCACAACCAGGGTTCGTTACTGGAGCAAATCAAGGGGTATCTAGAATTATTTATAGCTACAGTGGGTTAGAGGAGTTCCAGATCCACAGTTCCTCCTCTTGGGGATAAACCAGCACAAGGGAATAAGAAATGCAATCAAACAAAACATTCATCAGCAGCAGTGTTTCCAAAGGTATTTTTAAATAAACCAGGGAAATGAAATGCAGGAGTGACTGCTGGTTTTCTGGCAGGAATGCTGCATTAATGTTTGATTTGCCTTTATCTTACACATCCCATTTCAAAGGACAGCTGCTGTTGCATTCACATGTTTCCTCCATCTCCATATTCAGTGTTGTTATCCTTGGCTGCTCTTCTTAGGTTTCAAGATTTCCTTATAAACACCACAGGAAAGGGAACTCAAACTGGGGGAAAAAGAAAGAGATTTACGTCTCAGTCAAAGGAATTTCAGTATAACCAAAAATGTTTGAAGTTTAGGAGGGTTTTTTGACACTGGTAATGATCCTGTTCTGCGACAAAAATAGCAACAAATTTAGATCAAAGTCATTACATTAACTTTATAATCTCAACTGATAACAGCAGGAGAAATGGCAAAGCAATATGAGTGGTTTAAGCCTGGTGGATGCTCTCACCTGTGCCACCTCCCTGTGTCCCACCCAGCAGCCCTGGCCCTGTTTGTCCTGGGTGTTTGAGCCCCCCAGATGCACACCTGGCATTTCTTCAGCAGTGCTGCAGCTCATCCTTGTGCAGGGACACCACCAGGGGTGTCCCCTCTCTCTTGGGATCTCTGCTGCTCACAGTCACCCCAAGCTGTGTTAGAAAATTTCTTTTCCCAGCCCAGTGCTCAAAGAAGGAGTCAGAGCTCTTCAGTTCTCCTTCTCAAGGCTGTTTATTGTTTCTTATCTATAAAATTCTTTCTCCTGTCTAAAAACCTCAAAAATCTGTTTTTCACCCTGTGATAAATTCACTGTCATTCTACTTAAACTTTCATGGCTTGTAAATCTTCATATAAGGTTGGTAATTGTTTTCCATGGGTCAAGATCAAAGGCACAGGGGTCCTGGGCTCTGTGCCAGGGTCTCTGAGCCCCCCGGGCAGGGGCTGGAGCCCTCCAGGGCAGCCAGAGGAGTTCCAGCCCCTCTCCCTGCCCGTCCGTGCTGCCCTTCCCGCGGCTCCCAGGGGTTCGGGAATTCCATCCGCCCTCCTCCCACCAGCAGAGGGAAGCAGAAGGATGCGTTAAACCCGCGGCGCTTTCCCAGCCAGCACTCGCAGGTGCCAAGGGCCTCCTGGGCTTGCTGGATGCACCTTCCCAGCTGCTTCCTCAGCTGGGGGAAGGAGGATGCCCTTCCACAGCCTCCCGCTGTCTGGGGACTGCGTGGTAACCCCAGAACTCCCAAAATTACGTGCAGGAAGGATTTCTGAAACTCGGTACCGGGTATGTAAAGTAGGTACATCAAGGAGGTGTTTGGCATCTTCCCCTCTTTCTTCTCCTGCCTTTAGCATCTTCTCTTTCTTCTCCTTGCTTTGATCTCTTGCTCCTTGCTTGTCTCTCCCATCTCAGTGATATCAGGAGCGCATTATCTTAGGGTTGAATAACAGCAATCAAGGACGTAAAGGACAAAAAAAGATGAGGGGAAAATGATCAAGGTGGAGAAGTTGCTTAAAGACTTTGTGTAGGCGCCATCAGTCTGCCTGGTCAGCTTCCAGCAGAGCCAGCTGACCTGATGCTGAGCTGTGACTAAAGCAGGGCAGGCAGAGTCTGCAGGGAGCTCCTCAAAGCACTCCCTTCCCTTTGAGAATTTCCTGCTCGAAGGGCAGAGTGGGCAGCAGGCCAAACCACAAACTACACAAGGGCTTGGCTGCTTCTCTCCGAGGCTTTATCCCTGGAGAAGAGTTCCTGCAGCAGGTCACAAGGGGAGGCACTGAGACATCCACACCAGGCCTTTTGGGGGCTGCTGCCTTGGTTTCCCCAGCTGCAGGACTTGGCCGTGTCCCCCTCAGCCATTCTGGAGCACATTCCTTGAGTCAGGGATAAATGCCAGCACAGGAAGTTACCCACTCGCAATTTAGGCAGTGGAAGGAGCTTATTTGTCTCTCAGTGCCTGACCTGGAACACCCAAGAGGTGACTTGACCCACTTGTGTCACTCTGCCAGTTCACCCCTGCAGGACCCAGCCACTGGGGCTGGGAGCTGCTGCTGGGTTTCCCTTGCATCACCCAAACACAATTCCTGGCACTCTGAGGCATGCAGGAGCTGAATCTCCAAGGGCGTGGAGGTGCCTGATCTCCAGTTCCCCTCAGCAGCACTGGGTGATGATGGATGTGCCAAACCCAGGGCACAGGAGGGGAGAAGGGCTTCAGAGCCTTTCCCAGCACGTGCTGTCCTGGAAGGAATCAGAACGTGCTGCCCACAGGAGCTGCCCTGGCTGGCCAGGGATTGCATCCAGCCCTCCAGGCTGGGCAGCAGCAGCCAAGCCTGGCAGCAGCAGGGCACAAGGAGCTTGCAGATGCAGTTTTTTATCAGCTGCTCTGGAAACCTGCTGCAATTTTAATAATCAGCTCCAGCAGAATTGGGCAGGTCCTGCTTCCCTCAGCACAACCCTGCTGGCCACGGGGCACGGGCTGGACAACCTCAAGCACATGGCAGGGCCACGTGGAGAGGGACCCTGTGGCCAGGGCAGTGCAGGCTCTCTTGTGGTTCTGGTTCTGGTTGTTGATAAGGAACAGCTGCCTCAGGATCCTGCTCCCTGCAGGTGAACCCTCAGACCACATCTTCAGAAATCCCTGTAATTTTGGAGCAGCCCAAGTCAGAGCAGCTCTGCTCAAGTTCGTGGAGTTCCAGCACACACCTCAAATTTTGAGCTGTCCTGAAACGTTTTCGTACAAAGAAAAATGAGTGGAAAAGATGATTTTGTGCTGAGCTGCTTGATAACTCAAGGGGTATTTTTACAGGAAAGGCTGAATCCAGCAGAAGACTGATTCCTTGGCCTCTCATTCCTTGCAGAGCTCTCCCATTCTCATGGAGTGGCCCATATTTGGGGTTTGTTATTTTTAGCACCATAGTAGCACCGTTCCACTTGTCCGTGCATGCAGCCAGGAACAGCTCAGCTGAGGGAGGAAAAGGGAGCAGGAGGAGTTCCCTGTGATCTCACTGTAAATCAGCAGCTTCTGCAGCAGCCAGCACTGCCTGCCCACTCCCTGCCACTCTTCCCTTCAGCCTTTGGTAAGGCCAAGCAGAGCAGGAGCCTCCATTCCCCTCCCAGCCATTCCTGGTGGTTCCTGGAGGGCTTTGAGTCATTCCGGGGTTGCTGCTGCTGTGGCCAAGCACAGCTTCCATCTGGATGGGGTTTTTAATCTGCCCTTGGCTCATCCATTCCCCTCCTTTGAGCCTGCCTTCTTCCCTGCTCCTTCTTGCTCCTGCCAAACACAGTCAAACCCCTTCATCCTCGTGTCTCTATGAGTGCAGTCATGCCCCAGCTGCTTCATTTGCTCCTCAGCTGCCATTGCCTTGTTCTTCAATCCCAGGCCTTCCCTGTTCTCTGCCTTCTGTGCCATTTGGGGAGGGCACATGGGATCACTGCCAGAATCCAATTCTCAAGTCACCAGAAGAGGAACCAAGGCACCTCCAGAGTGTTTTCCATTGGTAACTGGCAGACAAGAAAATTAATGAAGTTCACACAATGTTCCTAAAGACCAGGAACTTCAGTTCTTCCCATCCTACACACTGGAATAATTTCACATTTGTGTTAGTATAAAGCTGTTCTTTTATCTTCATGGTCCCAGACCTTCCAGTTCCCACTGGGATTGGCAGAAGTAGGACATGAAGGGCATTCAGCCCTTCTTGGGACCACATCTGAAAAGCTGGAGGGATCACGTACAACACAGGCA